AAAGAGAAAGAATGACAAAGATGAAAATTATTTATGAAAGTGTCCGTCGATGAAAAATAGTGAAATTTTTCAACAATGTGTTAACATAGGAATTGGATTCACATTAATGTTCCATGTCTATGTTATGCAGTTATTGCTGCTGAATAATCATTTGTCGCCCAAAAGATACAAATGGTTTTATTCTAAAGTAAACATCTACATTAATTTTTCAAGCTAATATAAACTAAATAACTTTCTACGTTCTACGAACTGAAACAGTCAGTAGTTGTTTAGTGTGCCTAAAAATTTGTGCTTTTGAATTGTATCGATTGGTCTGGTTAAATGTCTTCCAGTAAAGTTCTACTATTTTGACAATATTTAAACAGATCAATTTTACATTACACTGAACAGCTATAACCTTTTGCAACTTTCTACTTATTTTTTGGCCATCATTAAAGAGCTTTAGAAATAACACTTGTTTTCATTTTTTTACATCAACTGAGCTTTTTGTTGTGATTTCTTTAGAAAACTTTTCTTTTTTGATTTTGTAATTATGGTTTTTGTTAGAAATAACAGCAACGACAGCAAATCCTAAATCTTTAACCATTTCAGGGAGGGGGTTTGAACATTGAGGTCACTGAAAGCTCGATTATTGTCATCGCAATGAATGGAAGGTTGGGGAGATGTATACAGATGCGCTACTTACACCAACCGATTATTGTTCACCAACCAAATATTTTACTACGTATCCGATGTGTTTCTGTCTGCATTTTTTTCTTCCTCTTTTTTCTATTCAGTAACTTATTATTTTTTCAATTGGAATTAAAAAAAAAGTGGAAGTGTAAAATCCAGTTTTTCTTCTTTTCCTTCAAAACTTTCAAAAGCGTCAACATGTTAACCATAAAATAAGAGCATACTCTTTGACATAGGAAGGATGATTGAGAAAAGAAGGAGGATTAATGAAAAATGACAGTTTTAAAAGGTAACATAATCGGTGGATTGTAGAAATGGAAACAACGTAAAGACAAGAAATGTTTTTCAACGTTCTGGCTGTACTATTTCTTCCAATTTTCCTTTCTTTAAACTTAGATGAAAAAAAAAAAAAAAAAAAGAAGAGAGAAATTTTCTCAGCTTTTACTCCCACTTTTTCTTTTTTTTTTTTGTTTCTAACAAAACAACTATCTCATTGTTTCAATGAGTAAATTAGGTTAATCTTATCGTCTGGTTGTCCAAAAAAAAAGGAAAAAGAGAAAAAGAAGAAAAAAACGTTTTCTTAAATTTAAGTAAGTATTCAAACAGAACAAATGTAGAAAAAAAAAACTCGTTTATGTATCTTTTAAAAAGCTGCCATAAAAATTACTTTTAACATTAAAATTCTATAAACAAAAAAATAAAATAACATTGTTTATGACTTTGTGGGTACAATTATCAAAAAAATCTGTCACAGTTGAGAACTTCAACTGCTTTCTTTCAGTCTACCATTCCCCGTCCCTCTTCCTATTATCACTCGTTTACACCATTCCAGTTCCAGTCTAATTTTTGTAACGATATTAAATGATCTAACAACAAAACATGACTTTAATTGATTTGTCTATTTATCCAGAAGTTGAAGTCACAATCAGCAAAAGTTGATAAATGTAGAAACTAGTGGAAGAAGGCTACAGGAAAGACGAGAAGAAGAATGTAGAAAAAGAACTGTTGAATGTAAGAAGACTGTTGACGACAACTATTCCGGCATTTATTGTGGAA